CAGCCACATAGGAAGGAAACAAATAACACGTTTAGTTAAGTCCACTAACCCAATATGTGTGTTTTGGAAATGTAACTTGAAAAGAACTTCAGAAGTAATTTTTGTAAATAAGGCTTCAATTAGAATTATCCTTCAAAAAAAAAAAAGCAAAAACAAAAACACCACTCTCTCCTAAATGCCCAAGTCTAAATACAAGTTTAAAGTCCACAGCACCCCAAAATTACAAAATGGTCTCACCCTTGAGAGGGCATCTGCAAAATATCATCAAGAAGAAAGATCTCAGACTAATGTTGCAAGTTTCATTTCTCAAACTCTGTAATATAAGGCAAGTCATCTCTCAGAGCTGCCATCATTACTTTTCGAATTTCTTTGGGGGGTTATTTAATGAGAAACATGCTATGATTTGTTTTAAGCTGAAGTCCTATTCTAGACAGTCTGCTTTGGGGGAAAAAAAAATGTTATCATTTAATTTCCTTTTGGTAAATTAAAACTAATGAAGTGTGGCCATGTCAAAGCAGAGGGAGATGTTCCGGGCGTATCACTTTGCCTCTGTGCTTTTAAGACTGTTCTTACTTGTGCCGACACCCAGCTGTCTTGAGGGAGACAACATAGGCTTGGAGCAGATGCTGCGTTTTTCATAAACCTGATTTTGCCTCAGAGGAACCAAAGACTTTTGAAATTCTGCTTCATACAGAACAGCTGAATAAAGGCATTTTCCTTACAGCTGTTAGCACTAGGGAAACTTGCTGTACTGCACTCATCAATTTGGGGCGTTTATGCACCCGGCAATCGATGACCTCAAGGAGCTTTAAAGTCTTGACGGGAACTTTGCATTTTCTTCTTAATCTTTAAAACACGGCACCTAAACTCAGGATTGGCGTGTGCTCTTAGGATATTTGAATTGTGCCCCAGTTCAGAGGCTGCGCATTGAACATCTCTACCAGGTTATGTAAAGGGCAAGATGTCATCCCTTCTGGGCTGGTAGCAAATTTCAGAAGAACTCTTGAGGAAGTGCCCCCTAAAATAGGACACAGCAATACCTGGGCTTCCGGGGCACGCACGCGCGCATGCACACACGCACACACACCCCCCTCAGCAGTGCTCCTCGGCACTGTTCATCCTGGCAGCGTTTACAGCGTGGAGGCAAAGCCGAAAGGATTTGTGTCCGGTGTGGGGCTCGCTGCTGCAGCCCCCTGACTGCTGTGGGTGGGTGCGCAGGCCCAGACCCGCGTAGCATGCAACCGCACCCCTACTCCTACACACACAGGGGGGCTGCATGGCCGCCTCTCAGCCGAGAGTCTGGGAGCCAGGAGAGAAGCAGACTCACCCAACCGTTTCAGAGTGCATAAAGGAGACATTTTAGGCTTACAGTCCATAGATCTGTTTGCTCGTAACAGACAAAGAATGGAGAGTCGGTATTCCTGGGTAACTACTATGCGTATTTGAAATAAAAGAAAGTGTGAAACCTCTGCATTTTTAGCTTTTCAAAGAATCATCTCTGAAAAGGAATTAATTTAAACCAATTACTGTAAAAAGCAAGTCTATCAAAATAAACTTTAAGACTTTCTATATAGTTAGGGCTCATTGTTATTTTTACCACATCTCATTTGTAAAAATAAGCAACTACTTTTGGTTACAGTGTTTTTATTCATATTTAAACATTTTTTAAAAATAGTTTAACATAGGAATATGTATGTATTTCTAAGTATTAAGAAGCTGGTGGCTTTTTAAATGTATTTTTGAAAAATGTATTATGTATCATACAAAAGAGAGATCATATTACTCCAAAGAATGAAAGTCAGCAAACTGAAAAGTTAAAAAAAAAAAAAAAAAAAACTGAGGTGAGAAATAAATTTACTAATGTCAATTTTTAATTTGAAAATTAATTGAGTATAACAACAAATTTAATATAAGAACAGATTCTGTTGTTGTCGAATTGTTCTCTTTTGTGGAAACTGCTTGACTTTTGTCTCGACAGTTTTTCCCCAAGATTTTAACCGTATTTATCATACTTCAGTTTAGGAAGAGCTTGAGTAACACACCTTAGATAACCCAAGGGCTACTATTCACTAAGATTTTAAGCTACTGTAATTTTATGGAATTTATTTTAAAGTGTTCTTTCATTTGTACCAGCCCCCAAAGTCTACCTTAACTGTCTCACAGTTACAATAAATTACAGTAGACTCGAAACAGGATTCGTTGAAGGATTACACCTCCCCCACCCTTAGGATCCAAAGGAGGAAGGCCTGGCCCATCGAACTTTAAAATGACAAAAGGGGTCGGGGTAAGGGAGCAGAAAATACAGGCTCTTGCAGATTTCCTCCGAGCAGCCCTTCACACCCTGTTCACTTCTCTACAAAGGTATGAGTGGAATGGCTTTTCTAGAAAGGGCTTCAATGAACATAAAGGAATTCCTTTCTCTGGGAGGCCCAGTGGAGGGAGGGCCGAGTCAGTCTTGAACTGGGCTGATCTCTCAAATCCATTTGATCTGGCATTTTTATCAACATGTTAGGACCCACTACAATTTTTTTCTTCTTTTTTTGTGAAAGAGATGCATATTTATTAAAATGCTTCCTCGTCCTCTTCCAGAGCCCCACAGAAGTCAGGAAACGATATCCCCAGCTTAAATGTGCAGACTAAAAGATGGAGGTAATCATATCAGGTTGCCATAGTAACTGCTCTGTTAACTTTTCTCCGAGCTGCTGGCTGCCTGGAAGCCGGCTTGCAGAGGAATCTTCCTTCATGTTCTAGGCTATGAAAACTGTGATGTTTGTTTAGGCAAGGAAGTTTTTCCTAGTACACATTTTATTTTTCAAGTACATATATACACTCATCGTTAAGCCTATTTATGTTCTCATTTATAAATCTATAACGCTCTTCTTTCCTAACAGTAACCTTTGATCTTAAACTGCTCCGAAAGCCTTCGTGGTTTGTATTTATTTATACAGCCCCCAATGGTTAATGACAAGGTAGACACACAAGCATTTTACAGTACTTTATTGAAAAATGTCAGGTGAATCTCCTGCTCATCAAACCTGCACCTTCCTGGAATCATGGTTTAATTACGGGTCTCGACAGCACAAAAATAATACCCCAGGTTTATTTTATGTGTGCACACACAGCACGCTGCTCATGAGGTATGGCTAAGTGCTGTGTAGGGGTGTGTGCCTATAATTCTTCTGACGCTGTCTCTTCACTGCAAGACACATGTTCCTAAATTTGCAAATTGTACCATAAGGCAACTGACACCTACGGAATGAGGCAGGTCCTCATAGTGACACTGGGTGGGCAACAGGTCCTTTCACATTTTAAGAACAGTTGACGTAGGTGCACTTTGATTCTAGAACAGTGAGTTAAAGACATTTGTGAACAACCTTTCCACTCAGAAAGGTGGACATAGTTTCCTAAAAGTAAACCATTTTTGAAAAAGCAGCAAAATGAGGGAGCGTTTATCGTGTGGAGCAGATTGAAAAAAGGGCAGCTCAATGCATTGATCCACTGCAGAACCATGATAGGATTTTTAAATGGTGAAATCTTGAAGCAAAAGTATAAAAATAAAACAAAAATTAATGGAAGTTTATTTTAAAAACACTGCTGGTGCTTTTTTTAAAAAACATTTATTTGGTTGTGCCGGGTCTTAGTTGCTGCACGTGGGCTCCTTAGTTGTGGCATGTGAACTCTTAGTTGCAGCATGCATGTGGGATCTAGTTCCCTGTCCAGGGATTGAACCCCGGGCCCCCTGCATTGGGAGCACGGAGTCTTAGCCACTGCGCCACCAGGGAAGTCCCTGCTGGTTCTTTATAAAAAGATTTCTGTTTACCTGTTATACACATGACATATTCATATGGAGTTTCCTTGCTCTGTATAAAATGCAGAAAACGCTGAAGACAACATGTACATCATTTTCATTACATCCCCTTAGCATGTTTTCTTCCACAAGGCGCAGTCCATTGACAATCTTCCATATTGCACATGCAATGTAACTAACTTTATTAGCACTACTTGTAGCAAACACGAGCCTAGGGAATTACAGGTCTGTGTGGCCAGAGGGATTTTGCCTTGTCATCAAACTTGACAGGGGTAGCCAATCCACTGGGCACCGAAATCATCCACATGTCATTCTCATAAAATATCTGGCTATATATATATATATATATATATATATATATATATATATTTGCATTTAATGCCTATTCCATATATTTCTGAAGGTGCTGTTCTCAAGAGTTCATGGGGTAGGAGGGAATAAGAGCTTGTGAACGCACTCGTGAAGCGCACCCACGTTCACCCCCTTGTCTGGGCTTGTTGATGTTTGTATTAAGGAAAGGGTTAAATTAAAACAACAGCTTTTAATTAGACTCATGAATGACTTTTAAAGACAACGGAGTTGTCCGTTCATGGGACTTAAATCATCGCATTCTGCCTTGACTTAATCTAAAAGGGCTCTGGATACAGGAAGCTTCCAGGTCGGCCACCCACCGGCACCCCTGACTGCATCAGGGGGGGGTTTCCTCCGCAAAGTTGAGGGTATCTGAGGAGCGGAGCCTCCTCCAAGCCCCCAGAGGGACTGTTACTGAACATTGGGGACACGCAAGGCGCGCAAGCCTGATTTCAAGGTGAGGAAACCAAGTCCCCCCAAAGACGGAGTCGTTGAGGCCACACGTGGGCGGTCGGGGACGCTCAGCTACGCCCTTTCAGAAAATCCGGCTCTTGCGGAACAAAGGTCGGGCGATCACGTCTCCCCAACGTCGCCGTGTCTCTGTCCTCTACACGGACGGTTATGGCATCTACGGTAAAAATCTAAAAGTCGGCGGTGGAGTTCTGGTAAAATAGTTGTCTCTGTATAAATTAATTTAAATCGTGCATATACATCTCGTCCCTCTTGACTCGGCTGGACTTGGTAAAATGGGAGCCAAAGAGGCTGGCCTATGGCTTCTCCCCGCGGGCAGCCCCGCGCGAGGCGGGGCGGCCCCAGGACTCCGCGGTCCGGCCCGGGCGGGTCACCTGCCGTTGGTAATGATGACCGAGGCGCCCAGGTAGTGCGGCAGGGGCGCGCCGGGCGGCGAGGCGGCGGCGGCGGGGTCGGGGGCCCGGGGTCGCAGCGCGCCGGCCCCCGCATCGGGGGCGCCGGGGCCGCCGGCGAGGGCGGGGGCGGCGGGCGCAGCGCCCCCCAGCGCCCGCGGCGGGCCAGCACGCGGTGGTAGTTGAGCAGCACGAAGGGCAGCTGCGCCGGCGTGCCCGGCGGCTCGGGGGCCGGCGGCGCGCAGCACTCGGGGGCCGCGCGGGCCAGCGCCAGCCGCGCCCCGTCGCGGGCGGCCTGGCGGGCGGCCTTGGCCGGGCCCAGCGCCGGCTCCTCGCGGTAGTGCCCGCAGCTCGGGAAGCTCGGCAGCGGTGGCGCGGTGTCCTCGCCGAACCTGCGCGCGGCGGCGGCGGCGGGCGCTGCGGGGACAGGCGACACGTTAGACGCCCGCGCGGGGGAGGAAGGGGACATGCCCAGAGCGACACCAAGCCGGGGGGCCCTGGGGCCGCCACCACCCCTGGGCCACCCCTGCCGCCCGCGCGCTCGAGCCCCGGAGCCGCCCTCGCCCCTTCCCGCGTGCGTGCCGGGCCCGCGAGGTCCAATCACAGGATGCCAGTTGCAGTGTTCTAGCAGCCACAGGAAAAAGTGAAGAGAGACAGATGGAGTTAGTGTTAGTAAGATGCTTAATTTAATGCAGCACAGCTAGACTATTATTTCAGTGTGTAATTAATATAAAAATCGGGGAGAAATTGTATTCTTTGTTTCTGTCTTTGAAATGCAGTGCAGACACTCCGAGCACATCTCATTGCACTGGCCGAACGGGGCTGGTGGCTACCATATTGGACAGCGTTGGTCCAGAGGCTTCCTCGGCCTTAGTGTTAGGTGACCCCAGGCTGCCGTGCGCTTTCTTGCTTTCACCTCAGTGGGGAGGGTGGAGCGGTTATCACCCTGCTCCCTTTAGTCATAATTAAAGTAATGACCATCGTCACTAATTAGATGTCTGCAATCAATTGGCTCCCCTCACCTCTCTTTTTTTTAAATATTTATTTATTTACTTATTTGGTTGCACGGGGTCTTAGTTGTGGCATGCAGGATCTAGTTCCCTGACCTCGGATCGAACCCAGGTCCCCTGCATCGGGAGCGTGGAGTCTGAACCTCTGGACCACCAGGGAAGTCTTTTTTTTTTTTTTTTAACCTTAAGACATCCTTCCTCTTCCTTTAATATCAAAAAGTCTAGGAAGTCGATCACAAACTGCCCCCAGTTGGCATCTTTGGTCCGTTTTTTACCAAGTGACTGACAAATGAAGTGGTTATTAAGCTCTTTCACTTTCAAAATAGCAATTTAAAAAATCAAATACTGTGTTATCTCATTGGTCAACTCCCACACACACACAAAAATAATCTTTTCAACTCAGTCTCAAGTGGATAGTATTTTCAGCTGTTATGAAAACCCTTTGCTTTGTTTTTTTCCCTTGGCCCTTCCTTGGTTATTTGAGGGATCCTATGCGCTGATGGGTGCTGGGGATTCAAATCTCTGGACTGCCTGAGGCCAGAAGGCAGAGCTGCACTGCCCTGGCTGCTGGTATGTTCTTTTTTAAACTGGCTACTTTTGAGAAACATGTCCTGTTAATCTCCAAGAAGGTTAGATTTCTCCTGGGATCTAGCCCTCTTCTTGTCTGTGGAGACCAAATTTATCTCACAGGCTTGTAAAGACTGGGTCACAGCACAAAGCAAGAGGTTCACAAAGCAGCCCTAGGAGCAGCAGAGAGCCCCAGCTGCCTGCAAAGAGAGAAAGGTGGGAGGGGGACTCCAGGGAGCTCTCCTTACACAGGTGACTCTTCTCTGGAATTTAGTGGTCCCCGCAGGACATCTGCACAAACCTCGTCTACAGTCTGAGCAGTAGTTAGGTCTGGGTGAAACAGGAACACACCCCGCTGAGCTAACCCTCAATCCCCACCTTCTACCCTCTGCCTGGGATTGTCCCAAGGAGCAGGCAGGAGACTGCTGGGCCTGGGGCAGCTGGTGGCACCTCCACAGAGGACCTCTGCTTGCCTGCCCCCAGGAGGAGCTGGCTGTGGTAGGCAATTGACATGGCCTATGTTCCTGTCTTACAGATGAAGAAACTGAGTCCTGGAGGGTTTGTGCTATTTGCCCCGGGGTGGTGAGTGGCGTTTCCGTCCCTGAGCCTGTGATTTTCCACCACCGCTTCCCACACTTCGAAAACTGGCATGGGAAGAAAACCAATTGTGTTCCATGTTCATTTCTGGGTGGAGTAGAAAGTAATCTTATAAAATAAATATAGCTGGGGGTTCTCAGTACATAGGAAAATCAGTTTGCTTCCCTTTTGGGGAGTAAACGGGGCCAGGATTTTTATGGAGGGTGGCCGAACACCCAGTTTCCTCTGCCCTTTACACTGTCCCTGGTGCCACGAGGCACACCGGCTCAGTTGCCCAGCTTTCAGCACCCTCGTGAAGCGCTCTCAGTGAGGGCAGGAAAGCACAGCCATTCCCACTTAGAAGCAGAAAAAAAGGGAAAGTTTGCCCACAGTGTGAGGGTTCTTTTTCCATCTGCCACCCACCGACAGCGCTGTGCACAGCCCTGCCCCTTTCCCTCGTGCAAACATGACCCACCTTCGTAGTTTGGCACGAGGCTGTGCCGAGCAGGGTTCACCGGCGGCTCGGAAAGGCTTTTAGCTGGAGACTGGCTGCCCGGCACTAGGGGGTTGGCATAGTGCCACTGGCACTCGCCGCTGGCTGGCAGCGTGCTCAGCAGAAAGCGTGCCACCTCGCACGGGGATCCTTGGGGCTGCCCGAACTTGGCCGGCAACATTGGCTTTTTGCTGCTGAAGACGTGAGAGTCCAGAGGGAAGTGTCCGTAATGGTAGGAGAAGGGCAGGCTGTAGGACGGGGCGTACAGAAGGTCGCCGCCTTCTGAATGGAGCTGCTGTTCTGGGGGAACTGGGGTGTGGACGGGGGGGCTGGCTCTCCAGCTTCCGAGCTGGCCGCATTCCAGTTTGTCCATTTGGAACGAGCTGTATTGCTGCCGAGCAAAGAAGACGGATGAAGGGCTCACCGAGGGGCCGGCAGCCAACTGCTTTCCGATCCTGTAGTGCCCGCCCCATCCCAGGGCTGGGCCCACCCCGGCCACCAGCGTGAGGTCCCACCGGGGACAGGTGCCCAGGAGACAGCACCCCAGCGACCCACCCTCTGGGTGGAAAGAGATCTCCTCACCCCAAGTGACAACACACCAGATACATGCAGCCACTTGTGCCTTCTGAGAGCTTGCAAAAGACTTTAAGAGAGAGGGAAGGTTTCCATTAAAATCAAATGCTATGGAAACACGAGGCACCAGTGTTCTGAGCCACGTTTACATGGATTCTAGCTGCTGATCAGCCTCCCCAGTGTAGTCTGTTTCCTAGGTCTGACTCATCCCCCTGGATGTTAGCTCTGCCTGCCTTCCCCAGGCCGCGTCTCCACCCTGTGGGCGGGACATCCCAGGGAAACTCCCGGGCTGGGAGACCCCTGAGTGCGATCAGAGGTGCCCAGGTGCCCCGAGCCCCTGCAGGTGGTGTGTTACCTGTGGGGGGTAAGGGTTTGTTCTCAGCTTTGTCTTCATCTTCGTGTTTTTGGGTTTAGCTAATTTCCTAGTTTCTTGTGAGGTAGACAAGGCGGTCCTCCAGGAGTCCTGGGACTTGGACGTGGACACCTGGTCCAGGGACAACTGCAGTTCCTTGTATTCGATGTCCCTGAGGAACAAAAGAGCGGGACAGGTCATGTCCACGGGCTGTGAGGAAGGGCGGGCTCCGGGACCGTCCCCAGGGCGAGTTCATTCGAGAAGCTCCACTGTGTCGTTTCCACTAAGTGGATGGGGCTGGGGCTCGAGGGACGGCCCACCCTCGTTATAAAAGCCACCCCACAGCCTCGAGCTCAGAGGCCCCGGGAGATGCCGAGTGACGTCAGTGTTCTTCGGCAGGAAGAGAGGGAGCGCAGTATGGCTCTCTCCCACCGCGTGAGCCCCACGCACGTTTCCTGCGGACACCATTCGCCACTAGGCAGGGTGTCAGGGCACAAAGGAAAAGACAGAAATGCTACTGATCAGTGTAAGTGTCTGTGGCCCAGCTGCTTCCCTGTTTAGCTCCAGGGAGGTGTGAGTGGGGACCCTTGGCGGTCCAGGAGCCTGGCTTCCAGCCTTGTCCACTTCCACACCAGGGGCCCATTCCTGCCCTAAAGAGCCAACTCGGCACCGTCAGATTCTCAGGAGGGGAAGTTGCCCAGAGCCCCAGCCCCAGCCCACGTGGGCCTGTTTGCTCAGGTAGAACCATTAAGGGACTAAAAATGCTTTCTCCCGTACAGTTTTGCTAAAATCACTCTAGCCCTAAAAAAAAAACCACCACCTACCTCTCACCCCGCCCCAAACCCCCAGGAACCTGGCACTCACTCTGTGAAAGAACGGAGAGCCTAAAACCTCACTGCATTAGAGAGGACCCTGTTCAGGGTGGGGCTGGGTGCAAAGTGATTTAACACATAATAGCCACGTTGGGTGGAGAGGAACATATGGTCCCAGGTAGACTTAGGTCCTGTTGCTTCTACTGGTCTTAACTGCGACTGAACTTAACGTTCTGGAGTTTTAAAGGCGCTAAATATTCACAATCATTTACAACAGGCTACGTAGGAAGACAAGGAGAAAATGGGAGATAGCCCCTGTCTCAAATGGCAGAAGCAGCAGGATGACCTAAATGTCTGTGGCCCCAAAGAGTATAAATTTGTATTCTTGGTCCGGGATGTGCATCCCCTTTCCATCCTGTTCAAGGTGGGGGGCATCGCCCGCCCGCCCTCTGCCCACTCACCCCCCTCACCCGGGGCCGTCCGATCCCATCCTCAGCCTCGGGGCACACCCGGCCCTCAGTGCTGATACAGGAATCCTTCAGCCCTTCCCAGACAACCAGATTGTTCAGTAAAACAAAACAGGAGACAAATGAACAGTTCCAGAAAGACAGAGGGAGAGAGATATGGTGCTTCTGGGAGCGATCTGATGAGGGCCGGGGAAGGAGAGAGCAAGGAGAGAAACAAATGCGTCTGACTTACGTGAGGACATAATTGACACTCACGATGCAGTGGGGCCGGGACGAGCGGCTGTTGTGCACGACGGTGGCGCAGCTCTGCACCCACACCCAGCCGCCAAGCTTGGACAGCAGCCGGTAGTACTTGGTGGTGACCTGGCCCTTCACCAGCACTGCAAGCACAAGGTGACATGAGTCCTGGGGAACGATTAGGCGGCCCTTCACCCGCCTTGGAGGAGGCTGCCCCCGCGGCTGACCTCCAGCCCAGGTTCTGGACCTTTCTGGGGTCAAGGACACCTTTGAGAACTTGACTAAGGGAGTGGGATTTCTCCACAGGAAGGTGCTCACACGCACGTGCACACACGCAAGATTTTTGCCTACAATTTCGCGGGGTCCATGGAGCAACTTCTCCCCTCCCCTGTGAAGAACTCGAATTTAATTGTCACTGCTTTCACTGGGAGAAGCAATTAGTCCCCAGACAACACTGGCACCTGGCAGAGTGATAATATTGGTTTTGTTTTTTAGTTTCCAAAATGCCATAATTACGTTATAATCCCCCAAACTCATAATAGGTAGAAGGAAGGGTGTGTGTGTGTGTGATGTAGTTATTTAAACCCAATAGTAAGTTAAGTGCATTCAACGGAGTGTCACATTGTTGCTGATTTTTGCCGTTCCCCAGAACATGTGTGTACTCACAGTGAAACTGTTTGTTACTCTATTGCCATTTATACTTCTTCCCATTAACCCTAGTTTTCCCTGGGCCCACGAATTTCCTATGATGCTCACGTAGGAGAGACCTCTACATGGCTATGTAATTTCTGAAAGCTGGGCCTGCAGGCCCATCTTCTATGCAGGGCTACAAACTCTGGACCTCTGGGCAGCCCACTTGCAAAGCCTCCAGGGGCACCTAAACTGCACTGATTCCCCTCAGGGCCTTCGGGAGAGCAGGGGGCGTGCTGTGGGGAGGAAGGTGAATTGGTGAGGTCCTTCTGGATCCACAGCTCATACCCATTGACACACCAATTTCATATCTAGGAGTTACTCCTATGCGAATTATGAGTAATGCAAAGAAAGACTCAAGGGCAAAGAGATTCCTTGAAGTCCTGCTTATAATTCAGGAGAAAAGGAAGGGGAGACTTACCTGTCTAATAATAGGGAAGAGGGTATATAAGTGATGGGGTACCAAGCAGTCACTAACATGATGATTGATAAGAATTTGTAATATGACGGGGAATACATATGACACAACGTTAAATGAAGGAAAGACAAGACTCAACTGCATAACGTATAATCCTAATTATGAAAAAGTGTGCGCGTGCACACACACACACACACACACACACACACATATACGCGCCCAACTAACTATGTGATCTTGGACAAGTTACTAACTCCCTGTGCCTCGGTTTCCCCGACTATAACAGGAAGATAATCACAGTCCCTACACCATCGGTTGCTGTGAGGGTTAGAGCGTTCGTGTGAAGATTTAGAACGGTGGCAGACTTGCGCGAAGGACTCGACATACTAGCTGTCGTTTATCAGACTGATGAAATTACAGGTAGTTTTCATTTTCTTTTCTTGATTTTCTGAATTTCCAACAAGGAGGGGGTATTCGTTTTATAATCAGAATGAAATTTTAGTTAATTTTCACATGGGTAAGCAGTCTGTCTGGGAGTGGGAAGTGGAAATACAACGTCTATGAGGCCCCACACCCCCTAGGGACGAAGCCAGGGTCAAACGTGTAACCACCGTCCAGCCCAGACGCCGAGGCCGGGCTCTGGAACAGCGCAGGACCAGATCTTTTCTTCCCAGGCTTACCATCGGCACGTCCCTGGACTCAGCTGGCAGAAGTAAGACCATGCTGAAGAGCGCAGCCCATGCTGGTAGGAGAGAGCCTCTACAGCGCCTCTTTTCCTTGTGAGGATTGCTTTTTTAACAACGAAATACAAGGTTCCTATTTGCAGCTCATTTTCGCATACACTGCCTCATTTACCCCCCTACACGCACCCGTGGCAGGTGGGCATCACCAGGAAAACGGAGCTCGAGGACATGGCTGGGGCCCAAGCCACGTCCGCTGACTCCCATTTCTCAGGGGCCATTGTGTGAGGAGGGGGCAGCGGCCTCTCGAAGTTTCTGTGTAGCTACTTACGGGGGTGGGTGTGGGCCAATGTTTAGGGGAGACCCAGTTAACCAATTTGCTTATGGCCCCCAAAGAGAGGCAACATGATCAAACTGAGGTCCCATCTGTGGATTTCCCGAGATGTCATTCTTTCTTCAACAGAAACACCTGTTAATCTCTTTGGCTTTGATCTCAAGGATCTCTATTCCTTGCAGTGTTCGTAAGGCCCCTGGGACTATGACATTATACTTTTCCTTTTTCTTATACTTCCCCTTATCTCTTACAATATTCCTGAAATCTCTCCATAATCGTCTTAAGCTGACTGCCATGACTACTGGAATATTTTTATCCCAAATATTTTATATCAGGATTCGAATGGCAGGATTTGCAGAGATTTTATTAGCGCTGACCCTCCCTGAGTCTTCTACGATGAAGCTTTAGATACAGAGACCAAACAAACATAGATGTAGTTTTTTGTTTGTTTGCTTGTTTGTTTTGCGGTACGCGGGCCTCTCCCTGTTGTGGCCTCTCCCATTGCGGAGCACAGGCTCCGGACGCGCAGGCCCAGCGGCCATGGCTCACGGGCCCAGCCGCTCCGCGGCATGTGGGATCTTCCCGGACCGGGGCACGAACCCGTGTCCCCCGCATCGGCAGGCGGACTCTCAACCACTGCGCCACCAGGGAAGCCCGATGTAGTTTTTTTTTAATTTTTTGGTTTTTTTTTTTTTTGCTTCTCTGTGACCCATGGCAATAATCAGCATATCAGTCCAAGGTGAAATCCTAGACACTTAGTCACAACATTCTTCGGTTTGCTCTAGCTCCTCATCCCATCTGTTGAATGTAATAATCTGTCTGAAGGATCCCAGGCCAGAGTGCTAAGAAGCAAGGCCCTGCTTGCGGTAGTTAGTGGTGCATGGGGGCAGGGAGGAGATGTTCCCTAAGCTGTCAGCTCCTGCAGGCAGAGGCCCTGCCCTTGCACCTTCCTCTGGGATGCAGCATCTCTGACATCCAGGGGATCCACGCCCAGATGAGAGCCAGTGGTCACAGTTTTCCGAGGCCACTCTGGAATGGAACGTCTACTTCCACAAATACACTATCCAGAAAAATAGATGGCTTTCCTGGTTCTTCCAGAATTCCTCCTGGTTCCAGAATCTTTCCTGGAGGCATAGCCACGTCAACGAGCTGGCCTCTGGAAGGAAAGGAAACTTTGGCCTCAAGCATAATATCCATTTCTGTTTTGAATTTTAAGAGCTGAAAAGGACACCAAAAATGCCTGTCGTGGGTTGAATAGTGTCCCCCCAAAAGACATGTTCTAGATTCTAACCCCTAGAACATGCAAATGTGACCATATTTGGGAAAACGGTCTTTGTAGATGTAATTAAGGATCTCAAGGTGCTATCATTATAATAACAAGTGTCCCTATAAGAGACAGAAAAGGAAAAGACACAGACACACAGAGGGAGATGGAGGCAGAGACCGGGGTTTGTGGCCACAAGCCAAGGACCACTGGCAGTCACCAGAAGCTGGAGGAATCAGGAAGGCTCGTCTCCCAGAAGCTCCATAGGAAGCATGACCCTGCTGACACGTTGACCTCCAGGACTGTGAGCCAGTACACTGCTGCTGTTTCACGCCACTCAGCTTGTGGTATTTGGTTACGGCCGCCACAGGAAACTAACCACCCCTGTGGGGAAGATGTAAGTGCAATCCCCGTGCTCTTCCTGGCTCTCGTCTCTGCCAGCAGAGCCTCAGGGAGAGCACAGTCAGCGAGACTGGAGACAAGCCACGTGGTCCTTTGGGGAGTGGGTCTTGGTGTCCTTGACCCCCCATGCCCCTGCTCTACACCTGGGGCTGGAGGGAGTTTGGTCACTGAGACCTGGAAAGCCCGGGGGGTGGGGAAGAACTTCCAGGGGGCTGCACTGTGCAACATCTGCAAAGTGACACTGACCACAGAAGATGGGCTCAGCCAGACCCATCAAGCCACACCTATAAATGTCCAAACTGCTCCCAGGGAGCAGGACAGCGTGTAGATCGCACTGTGCTTTCTAGTATCGATTATTTCCCGTTTCATTGCTCATGGCTCCCCCCTTAATGCACAGGCTCCCTGCAACTTCGTCAGGAAGACAAAGCTGCTTCTACCTCCAGACTCTTTCAGAGGGGAGCATCTAGAAAGGATCTGCATATGAATTAAACTCCATCATCCATTTCCAGTCCAGAGGCAAGAGAGGCCAGTGGCGGAAGCCAGCCTCCCTGTGAATGTCAATCAAAACTCCTCACGGTAGATTGGAAACTTCTTTCAACTGTATTTTCTATTTGAAGACCTTTGTCCCTGTTCCACAGTTGTGCTACAGAGTGGTTGCAAGCTGACACCCCATGGACTGCATGTGTCCACAGATGTGCTTTGCTGGTGGCATGGTGTTGCTGTTACCCAGAATGCCTTTGGCTGGGTCATGTGTTCTCCAGTTAGGCACAAGCTCCACCACTCCATATTGCCCCATCTGCACCCACTCATACATTCATGTTACATGTCCGGCCCCATAAACATTTGAGTTTGTGGCCCCTGTACGTCATTTAAAGTGCGTTTTCCACGGGTCTACACCAGCCGTCCTATAATTTTGTTATAACAGTTATTGCTTGAAATATGTGGACCACATATTCAGGCTCCAAAGCCTTTCTGTGACATTGAAATGTTTTCATAGCTGGACACAGCCTGTGTTCTCTTTGGCATTTGGGCTTGGCCCACTCTGGACAGGGTCCTACCTGGAGAACTAGGTGAAATTCATAACTACTTCGGATGAACAGCCGTGCAGACATCATGGTTCTTCTAAAACACTGTTGTCCACAAGAATCCTGCCTGGTGTCCCTGACACACATCTTCAAGTTTACAGATATTGATCCCCTCCCCGGCCTGTGCACCAGGCTGCCCCCTGCCCACCCCGAGGACCTGCAGGTCAAGCCCCCCATATACAAAAGTCTCCCAAATGCTTTGCAAAGGGAGCAGGGAGACAGGGAGGCAGGCCCCAGCTGGGAGGACCTTCCCAAGGCCACGGGACAGGG